GAATTATTGGATTTGATACCTGGATGATTGAGCATGAACTTTGTTGCATGTGCGTGCATGTTTCTGCTCACATTTTCTTTCGTACATCCCGAAAGGCTTTGATTCTATGGAACCTCAGTGTGTTTACATAGCATGTGACTGAAATATACTAAACTTTACAGTTGTCATGTGACTGAGGTTCTGATGTGTTTGAGGTGTGTTAATGTTTTACTGTTTGGGGTTAAATGTGGTCCATTCATACACTGAGGGCCTTGGCTACTAAGTTATTAAAATATTGGAATTTTTGACGGTTGAAACTAGGGATGCACAATATAATCGGTATGGTATTGATATCGACCGATATTAGTGATAAAGTTAAATATCTGACATTGGTCATTCAATCAAAATAACTCACTGATATAAAAGGCTTCTGTTTTAAGGTAATTTTTACTTTAAGAAATTATCAAGTATATCTATTAATGCACTATTACTTATGCGCTTTTCACTTGTCGCTTGTGAACAGGTTAAGTTTAGATGTGTGAAAATGTACAAATTTGCACTGTTCCAAGTGTTGTCATTGTGTTGGAGAGAGTAAATGTCATGAATAAATTGGACATTATTCATATCCAAGTTGAAGTGCTACATCATTTTCAGCCCCCTTTTTGGCATCTGCTTTTTGTAGCAGACCAAATTGACAAAGACCATGCAGAATAATGTAGTATTTTAATTCCACAGCAGAGAAAGCTATGTAGTCTCTGTAAGTAGGTCTAGGGAAAAAATATCTGTATTGGTATTGGATATCAGCCAAAAAAATCCAATATTGTGCATCTCTAGTTGAAACCAGATCCTGTATAAAATGACAAATTTATTTTCTCTCATTGTCTGGCATTAAATTATGAAATTATTTTTCTCTTGTCAGGTGAAAATAAAAGAGGAGATAGAGAATGAAGAGGAGGGGATGAAGGTTCAGGAGGGAGAAGACATAAAAGAAATAAAGATAAAGCAGGAGGTGATGGAGGAGGAGGTGATTGAGGAGGAGGAGAAGAAAAATGTGGAGGAGGAGGAGGAGAAGAAAAA